CCGCATCCTCCAGTACTGCAAGGGGAGGCAGCGCGCCGCCTGCCCGCTCTGCCGGGAGGCATTCGAGCTGAAGGACCTGCGGCCCAACCGGGAGCTGGCCGCTTTGGTGAACCTGATCCGGCAGGAGGTAAAGGAAGAAGAGTTGGAAGCACAGGATGAACCAAACCCCTCTGCAGCTGTTGCCTGCAACGACCAGAGCTCGGCGGGACGGCGACATGGGGACAAGGTAGGGACGGAGGCAGCGTGGGGCTCCTCCCCGGGACACCCTGGGGTGGTGTCGTGATCATGGGGACATGGCCAGGACTCAGGGAACTTTATCTTTCTTTTTGGTCCCCACCCCGGATGCTTTGCATTTCCCGTGCTAATATTAGCGCTGTCATAACAACGTCATGTATGCGGAGCAGACGGGTTTAGCTAAAGCAGTGTCTGGGTGGTGTCTCATATATTGAGAGCTGAATTAAAAGAACTAATAGCTGTGTGTATTCAGCTGGTGTATGATAGCAGTAGTTAAATGTGCTGGGTGTTTATTGCATCAGCATAGCATTGGAGACTGTTGAAAGGACACGTAACATTATTATACAGTGCTACAGCTCCACCCAGCTGAATGGCACAAAATAGGACTGATTCGTTACCTAGATCTCTGCTCGGAATAACTCCCAAACTTGAAAAAGATGAGAAAAACCTGTTGACTCTCATTATTTTAGCACATACGTATCTAAAATGTAATCTTTAGTCTCTGCAGTCTGAAGCTTAATTATATTTGAACATGTCATTGTTGACTATTGCATGTTGACTTCATTGTGACGATTTCCCCTCAAAATTAGTTGTGTCTTGAGACCCCTCAAGCAGTCCAGTGCTTAACTAGGATGTAGAGATTTTTATTATCCTGCTGCTTAACGTAGATGTGCTTTCTTTGAGGGTTATATGGATAAATGGTCCAATGTGTCCCTTTAAAGGAGGAAGAGATACAGGACATCCCAAATGAACCGGAAATTACTATAGAGACCATCCATCTCTTGAGGGAAGAGCTCAGTAAAACAAAGGTACACATTCTACATTCATTACCTGCAGTTAGCTTTTGTTTCCACTGCCTCCTGGAGAGGCTGACTCCATTGTAGCCTTTAAGCCCAGAGCAGGAATCTGCCTTTTTGTTTCCTTCTTTTGTTGTCACAACTCTGTTGTTATTGATGAGGATGAGCTATGGCACCAGCTTCACTAACTTGTGCCTTGGCTGGCACAAACACTGCTGGAATTGTGCATGTTGCCTTTTCCTGCCTACCCCAGGAGTAGCCTGAGTGTTTCCAGTGCTGTTAGATGCAAAATGCAAATCATAAAGAGGGAGCAGTGATTTTTCTGAGTTCTCTAGCCAAGACTGCTGGCCATAAAATAGTCAAAATCCTTAACATGCCCAAAATCTGATTGCAGGTAATGCAGGATAGTGTCAAAGATATTTTATTCCTTTGAATAAAGGTGGCTGTTTCTGCTCTGCAGGGGTCAGTCAAAGAGTATGTTAGGTGGGGCAGTAGTTTCTCATGTTCCACACTTCTTTCCTAACAACACAATGAACTCCATGTTTTCTGCCTTTCAGGAATATACGTCTCAGATCAAAAGCCAGATTACGAGAGATTTCAGTTGCATGAAGGAATATGTTGAAAGACAGGAGAGAAACACACTGGTGTTCATTGAACAAGAGCAAAAAGCAGCTCAACAGAAAATTGAAGAGACTATTCACCAGCTCTGCATTGAAGTGAACAGGCTCACAGACATCACAGCCCAAACAGTAAGTGATGAAGTGGCAGAATATGAGTAGAAACTCTTAGGCTAAATGTCTTGGATAGCTGAATATGTACAGAGCACTTCCAGGTCCCCACTGCACTATTCTCTCTAAAGACAGTGTTCCACAGACAATGCTGTTACCAGGGAGAATTTGGAGTGAGATATTCAGAGGGAAAAAGTACTAGAAAAGGCACAGGCTGGGGATGCAATCCAGAACTAGATTTGTTCCAAGGACATTGTTGAGCTGGAATGAAGAGAGGACTACACGGCTCAAATCTAGTCCTGAGTCATATCTAAGGTTAAGATCCTTTATTATCTTTTTATTTTCCAGAATAAGCATATACACATATATATGCACGTTAAAGATCTCACAAAGTTAAGTACTCTCTAACAACTTTCTGGGGCAAATATGTCAAAGGCTCTCAAAAGAGGCACTTAAAACACTTTAAATTTTGCAGAGCCTGTTTTGACGTTGGGAACAAAAACGCCCATGATGCAAATTAGCTAGCAGGAATTTGGAGTGGGGCTCGCGGGCTGTGATGGTGCCAGGAGACAGAAGTGGACTTCCTAAGCCAAGGCACAAGGTCCTACATTGGAATTCATCTTGTGTAGCTATGTATTTGTATGTGGCCCAGAGTCCTGCTGTAGACAATAAAGAGAAATAGGAACTTTGAGAGCATGAGTCATCTGGCCGACTGGAGTCTCCTACCTGCAAATGAGACTAATCCAGCCTTCAGAAGGCCTGTTTCTTTCTGCCGACTAAAAGAACAAGCTCAGATGTAGATTTCCACAATTTCTAAATTTAGGAAAATAAGGCCTATGCTTTTGTAGGTATTTTATCCTAGATCTTATACTAATACATGCAAAACTTTCGGTTTGCATTCTGGAACAAGAGGAAAGTTTAAAAAGAGAAAGTTTGTGTACACATACGTATAGTTAAGGAAATCGTAATCTATATAATATATATGTGTGTATATAGATATAAAAGAAAAATTAGTTCCTTTCTTAGTTTTCTTGGGGAAAACAAAGTATTTTGTTTTTCATTAAGAACAAACTATCCTTTCTTCTTTTCTCTAGGATTTCAGGTTAGTTCTCAGATAACTACCCTATAAAGGAAGCTCTTGATAGAAAGAATAGGATTTTTGAGAAATAACTGCTGTTCTTTCACTCTGGCTTTATAATACAATCTGATATGCTAGATGAAATAACTGCTATTGTTTACACCTTCCCCTTGATTCTTTTACGTCATTATTAGAGCACCTTACTTGAGATACATAGGTAAAAAGACTTGCCTTCGACAATGGGTAAAATTACACTTGATGAGAAACTTAATGTTGTCAAAAGTGCTGTAGAAGTTCTCAAGAGAAAGTTGGAAATTTTGCTTTTGGAGAAATACCCTGAGCAGTTCCCACCAGGCGAGTTCTCCTTATTTTGAAATCTCTTTCTTAGAGGGAGTGGATCAGAGAAAGCAGGTCTGCATGTGTGTGATTATTATAAAACCCCTTGCAGCTTTGGAGACAGCATCAGATACTTTATACTTTCATGGGAGCCCCAAAGGAAAGAACTGGCTGACATGCAGATCAGTAGTGGAGAATGAAACATAATCTATTTAATTTTTTTTTTTCTAAACATTGAGTAATGTAACAGCAAAGTCTTTGCTAAAAGCAGACATAAAATTCCCTCCCACAGAAAGCTGTGCCTAAGCAAAGCTTTACATCAAGCATGGCCTTTGCTATGGAGTTCTCCTCTCAGCACCATCTGTCTGCTGGAGAAAGACCACTAAGTGGTTTTGAGAGCAACTTAAGACTGACCTAAAACCCCACTGCACCAAGGGGCAATCCTCCTCTTCCTCCCCTTTCCAATACTCTCTGCCTTTTCCAAGCACTGGTTCTCAAAAAGCCAGATTCTTGTTCATAATTTTACCTCAGAGTTTTTGTTATCTCAATCAGTTCAGCAACTGAGTTGACAGCTTTGCACCACAATCAGTTTTTAGTAGCAAACCCGAGGAATCAGTGGGCAGAGGTGTGGGGCAGGAACTTTTGAGGACAGTTTTCATGATGAAGCCAACATATTATGTAACTATACCAGAAAAGCTCTGCAAATGAGTCCTGTAAATATACACTACAATGTCATAGAAAATTAGAAAGAGCCCTTGAAGCTTTAGGGCTGAATGTCAGGCTTTTCAGTCAGGGTAAATAATGACTTTGTGCTTTTGAAATGCACATGCAAGTAATACAAGAAATGCATGACATTCAGTAAAAAATTAACACTGAAAACTTTTATGACAGAAACTGGCTTATGTGCATAGGAAAATCCAACTGCTTTGCCCATCTAACTTTTCTGACTACTCTATCCTGACCACACTCAGGGTAGCAGCATACAGTGTTTTGTTGATTGTGGATAAAAATAATTTATAGATAATTTATAGATTCTAAAAAGCAACTCTTTGTTTTGTACTTTGACCATGATCTAGGTTATTTAATATATATTTTCCTTTAGAAGCATAAATATTTCCTGTTTATATTTTGAAGAAGTGCAACCTCCAGACTTGTATCAGGAGACAAGTGTCTGCTCCGTATCTCCAGAGTCTGCAGCTGAAAATCCAGAAGCAGTGAATTCAAGCCATTTTTCCCAATGTAAGTGTGCAAGTCAGCATGACTCTTCCATAACAATATTCAAGCAACTGTGAGACTGTGGATTTGCTGAAGAAAACCACACTTACAAACATCAGCAGATCTGGCTTTTGACCTGAAGCATAGGAACGCAATGAAGTTGCCATGAGTGAATCAGTTACTGCAGCATAAGGCAGTATTATACCTGCCTGCATATGCAAGATAAAGAGGATAAGAAACTTGCTTCCTGGAGGTATATAAACTGTGTTGTAGATTATGCTGGCTGCAGAGTCTGAGTTGGTATACGGGCAGTTACTGCACTTTACTGCTCTTTACTGCATTAAGCTGTAATGACTCCAGTTGTCTCAATTCTGCATCATTCTTACAGAAATGTTTTTAGTCAACACCCAGTACTGCAGCTGTAGCTTAAAACACAAAACAAATGGTTTTGCTGATAAAATATGCAAGAGCATGTCCCAGTGAACATGACTGTGTAAGTTTTATTGAGCATCCCATTTATGATTGGCAAAAGGGTCACCTTTTTAAAAGATTGTGGGTAGTACTTCCACCCTCCCACTGGAGTGGATGAGTCTGTCATGGATGTTTACACAGTTGTGCCTGTTAAATGTTTGAGTATGCTCAGGATACAGTTGTTCGTTAGTGTTTGGGTGAGGGTTCTTGCTGATTTGCAGGATTGAACTTTGATTAATGTTTATTGTATGAACATTGGTTTTCATTTCTGTTCTTGAGTAGGGATGCACATCCACTGTCATTTAGGATGCATGTAAATATTGAGGGGATCTGCCCTGTGACCTGCAAGAGAATATTTTTCTTTCTCTCTTCTAGGGGCAGATGATGTGACTTTTGATCTCACAAGAGCCTATGAGCACTTAGCAATCACAGCCCAGAACAGGAAAGTCATGGTTTCCAGCCACCCGACTGACTATGGGCCATTGCCCAACAGATTCTCCATCAGCCAAGTGAGGCGTTTGCAGAGCTCCTCTACTGGGTGCAGCTACTGGGAAGTAATTACCCAGGACAATGATGGATGGGCTGTTGGAGTTGCTCATAAACTGATTGGTAAAAGGGAAAAATCAGGAAGAACTGAGCATTCCTGGTGTGTGGAATGGCTAGGTCCCAATAAGCAGCTGTCAGCATGGCATAGAGATCAAGAAACATTATTACACAAGGATAAACCACTGAAGGTTGGAGTTTTCCTGGAGCTACAGAAGACCATGTCATTTTACTCCATCACTGAGAAAGAAATGCTTTTGCATACTTTTGAAATCAGTACCTCAAATCCTCTTTACCCTGCTTTCTGGATATATGGCTTAGAAAGAAACAGATCTTTAAGTTACACAAACAGGACATAAAAACCTGTTCAGAAAAGTGACAGCTTTGCCTCCAAGTGCAGAACTTCTCTACAGGCTTAAGTGTTTAGCACAGGAATTTACCAAGGAGTGTGTAGCCACCAAGGCTTTCCTGGGAATTAGCAACTGCTCTGTTCTTCATGCTGTGCTCAGATCTAGCAATACTTCATCAAAGCATTTCCAGTGTATGCTAAAAGTAGTAATCACACCTGTGAGAGCAAAGTGGATTTCTTAAGCAGCTTTAAGTACTCCCAGGATATTTCTAGGAAGGAATGCACCAAGGAAGCTTTGAGGCTGAGGATAAGCCCTTGTCATGGACTTTGTTTTCCTAAATTGATCCAAATTACAGGAGAATAGGTGATGCTATGACATTCTGTCAAGTGAGCTTTCTTTAGAAAGATCCGATTGAGTTAGGAATGCTGAAAGGAAAGAATGTCACTGATCTCATGCATGAAAATCTTTTTTCTTTAGGGTAGGTACTAAACTACAGGAAACAGGTTTTGTATTTATGGACCTGACATTTCAGGGACGTGTCCCAGAAGAACCTTGTGTCACCAGCATCTTTTTTTAGCCCTGCTCAGGCCAAAGGGTTGGCAGTCCTGGTGGTGGTGTGACCATGGGAATGGTGACACCACCATTGAAGCAGATGTTTTCACATGTGTTTGTGCCAGCTAATAAAATATGCCATCATGTTAGTGCACTTTTACAGAGCCAGCAAACAGGACTATGTCTTGGAAAGGACAATCTTTTCTTGCCAGGGAGCCTGAGGAAACAAGAGGTTCTATGAGTTTCCTTGCCAGCATACAGCAATGTCTCTGCCCTGGTCTGTCACACCTTTCTAGGTGTAGGGACATCCTGCAAAACCTCCTGACAGCTGAGCTTCTGCGAGGACCACTGCTTCATGCAGGCAAACTGAGAACAGTTCCCAGGAAGCAAAAGCTTTTTCAGGAAGAAATTCAGCATTCCAGGATGAACGAAATAAGGATTTTAATGTGAATAAAGCATGTTGGAATTCAGCTAGCTCGTTTAGCCAAATGGCTTTTTAAGTCATTGACAGAACTGCTGGTAATCTTCAAGGTTATTCGTCTTTGCTGCCCCTGAAGACTCTGAAAGCACTTGGGACTAAATACACATGTCTAAGGTCCCAGAGACGTCTGTACCAGCGTCTGCAGGACTAGGGGTTAGCTCTGCCAACAGTGTAATACATTTTTCATGCCGCTGCCTCTGTTTAGCACCGAGGTGGCTTTTCCTCCATCTGGAATAAGAACAGCGACAGCACGATGGACTCACTGGGCACCTCTCATTTTCCATCTTCCACATACAAGTTGCGCCAGGAGCAGCAGTTTGTTACGGCCTGGCTCATAAACTACCACACAATTTGAAAGGGAGTGCGCTGTCTCCCTCGGATGCGTTCCCGTGCGCCGCACGCACTGACCTGCCCAGCGCAGCCCTGCAGCCAGCTCCGTTTCTTCATGGTACACGGAATCTGCTCCGTAACGGCAGAGACCCGTTGCGGAGCGATGGTGGCAGGGACCGGCGCTGCCCTGCGGGAAGC